TTGGCTACAGACGCTACATTTAATCTGCTGCCATGAATAATGCCTTTGTGTTTTGTATGAAGCCCAGGAGATCTTATCAGTCATGCAGAGGGGGCCAGCCAGTCACAGCACTTTATTTGACACGGTGCATGCTTTGCAGAGTCCTCTTTGGGGATGACTGCCTCATGGTTACTGCCAAGGCTTTGATGGGGAAGGGGGCTAAGAGTTAACCTTGAGGCCGGGCGCGGTGGCTTACGGGGGTAATCGCAGCACTTTGGGAGGCCAAGGTGGGCGGATCATTTGAGCTCAGCAGTTTGGGATCAGCTTGGCCAACATGGGGAAACCCCATCTCCACTAAAAATAGAAAAAATTAGCCAGGCATGGGGGCAGGCGCTTGTAAGCCCAGCTACTCAGGAGGCCGAAGCATGAGAATCGCTTGAACCCAGGAGGCAGAGGTTGCAGTGAGCTGAGATGGTGCCACTGCACTGCAGCCTGGGCGACAGAGTAAGACTCCATCTCAAAAAAAAAAAAAAAAAAAAAAAAAAAAAGGTTAACCTTGAGACTCCAGGGGAGTCTTACAGCTGGTTAGATGGCTTTTTGAGAAATGGTTCAGAGCTGCTTGCTTTGATACCCTCTTCAGCCTGTGGCAAACATCTGCTTAGTGATCTTGCTGGTTTCAAAAATGGGATCCATTCCTTTAAAACTGGCCAGGCCATGGGAGTCGGCTGCATGCCTACTAAATAATATGTAAATACTGTTGTTGTTTTGTTGTTGTTGTTGTTGTTGTTGAGATAGGGTCTCACTCCGTTGTCCCAGCTGGAGTACAATGGTGTGATCATGGCTCACTGCAGCCTCTACCTCCTGAGCTCAAGGGATCCTCCCACCTCAGCTTCCTAAGTAGCTGGGACTACAGGCCCACGCCACCACACCTGGCTAATTTTTTATTTGTTAGAGAGATGGGGTTTCACCATGTTGCCCAGGCTGGTGTTGAGTTCCTGGCCTCAAGCAATCCTCCCACCTCAGCCTCCCGAAGTGTTGGGATTACAGGTGTGAGCCATCATTCCTGGCCCATACATATTGTCGATTGCTTTGCAAATTGCTCTAAGCTAAGGTTATAGCTGGTGGAATGTAGTTTTGCCAAATTACTCTTTCAGAGTCATTGAGGCAGAGCTCGCAGGATCTGTGCTGGTACCTCTCGGGTGTGTCGTCCGGCCCAGCTCCTCCCTCACTCCGGCAGTGTGTGGCATCTCCACCCGGATGTCCTGGCGACATTTCACATGTGGCAGGTCCAGGCATGAATTCTCAGCTTCCTCCCCAGCCTGCCTCCTTCCCTCCCTGAGACTGTCCCATGTCAGTACCTGGCTTCACTGAGTGGGTGGCTCAAGTCAGGAGCCTGACAGCCCGTTTCACCAGCACGTGCAGCTCAGGGTACCTCTGCAGACTGTCTTGTGTGGGTCATTGTCCACACTGTCACTGTTCCTGTCACTGACAGACTGGGCCAGGCCCGGGCACCTTAATGGAAGACAGCCTCAGCTTCTTACTGGTCCTGCTTCCCCATCCATGCTCCATACAGCAGCCAGGGCGGTCTTTAGAACAGAAATAGTGGCAGGTTCCCTTTCCTCTGGGCCCTGGGATGCTTCTCCATTGCTAGCACAAAACCCTGCCACCTCCCACCGGCTGCCTCTGCCTTCCTCTCAAGCTTGGCCACCTGCCCTTGAACCCAGACACCCTGCCCTTGACCCCAGCTACCCTGCCTTTGACCCCAGACACCTGCTTTTGACCCAATACCCTGCCCTTGATCCCAGCTGGCCTGCCCTTGACCTTAGCTGTCCTGCCACTGACCCCAGATACCCTGTCCTTGACCCCAGACACCCTGTCCTTGACCCCAGACACCTGCCCTTGACCCCAGACACCTGCCCTTGACCCCAGCCTCCTGCCCTTCCTGCCTCCAGCTGTTGCCTGCTCTTCCCATGGTCGCTCCTTCTCCTGGCTTCACTGTCTCCTGAGAGGTCCCCTTGGCACCTCCCCTTCCTGCACCAGAGCACTGCTCATGCATTGCTTGTTAGTGCGGTCTACGCCGTGGGCAGAGGGGCCTTTTCTGCTGGTGTCCAGCTCCTCTCCTCGGCAGGCACATTGGAGGCAGTCAACAGATATCTGTAATGTGGACAGATGTGTGAAGTCGGGTGCCTTTCCAGGGCCTGTCAGTGGATGGTTCGTGTTTTGGCTGGTGGAGGACTGAGCCAGGCTGATTTCTGTAACGGGATCTTCGAAACTGTGATAGCCACTGATTGTCAGCTTGCCCTCAGAGGGCATCAGTGGGCGAAAATCATCCTGTGATGAGAACACGCACACCCACCCACACACACACACCATACACACAACCACACACACACACACCCCATACACACACAACCACACACACATGCACCCACAC